TGTGTATTTTTTTTTTTTTTTTTTGATTTTTTCCCTCCCCTATCCACTCAACCCAACCAGTCAAGGCAGAACGCCTTTCTGCTGCCCACCACGAGCTGGGGTCTGTTGGATTTTTCTTCAGTTAAAGGGGGTTTTTCCTCCCCACTATTATCAAGTGCTTGCTCAAGCGGGATTTGTTAGTTTTTTTTATAATTCTGTCAGGTCTAGATCTTGTGATTTGGCACTGTACAAATAAAGTTGATTTAAATTGTATTAACAGGTAGCCCATTGCTAATAACTTAGTCTCCTTGTTCTCTGTTAATAGACTGGGAAAATGAAGAAATACTGACACACCATCAATCTCTAAGCCTGACTGGAAATACATTTGCACATTTTACTTATACTACTGTGACAATGTAAAAGCATAGCAGTATTAACTTTATAAACCCACTATGGCTATGTTAGCTACCAGTTACAGCTTAACAGCTAATCTGATACAAGACACTAACCACATAAACAACCAACTCCCCAACCAGTGGAGGCAGAAGGCCGCCCACCAAAAGCTGGGGTCTGTCTGAGGTTTCTTCTGTTAAACACAGTTTTTCCTTCTCACTCTGACCAAGCACTAGGTGAGAGTGGGAAGGGGGATTTGTTCGAGATTTCCTTTATAATATTAATAATAGTAAGGTCTAAACCTGACTATATATAGTTTCCTAAGATGACTTTTGTTATGATTTAAATAAAATAAAATTGAAACTGAAATTTACACTAGCACATTTTTTAATGAAAATGTTTTTTGTACACTCAATATAATCGTAATACTCTGCTCACATTCTTTTTTCAGAATGTTTATGACACATCCCAGACATCGGACATCCCAGAAATTTTTTTTACAAATTAAAGGAGCATCACATGCTTTAAATACAACAGTTCCTGATGATTCTGAAAAGGTGTCAGTCCAATCCAGTTTTGGAGTTCTGTGTGGAACGTATCAGATTTGGCTTTTTTCTCTGCTTTTTTTGTGTTGTTCAATGCAAACAGAAGAAATAAACATGAGAATACCAAAGAATTTGTGATTGCAACAATTTTCCGGGTGAAGTGGTTCCTGACAGAAATACAGGGGTGCCAATAGTGTTTTTGCCATGATTGTAGGAACAAGCTTGTCAAAAGTTTTTTTAAAATCTTAAGTAGTGCGCTGATTGTAAATACCATAACAACAGGAGTCATGGTGACATTTCATTTAATAGGAAATGAACCTAACCTTAGGCAGACAACATGTTGCAGGTCTACATTTGGATTCTGAGATGTCTAACATAATCTCTCTAAGTCTAACTGGACCCCCTCTCAACAAAGCATTAATAGGAACTCCTAGCAGATCTGACAACACTATCCCATTGTTGTATTTTCTTATTTTAGTGTTTTCAAGACAGACATTGCTTGGGATTTCACTAGAAATGTTGACGTGTAGCACATTACAAAACTAAAATATTGTGCTATTGCTTTTCCTGAACAGTTTAACAATTAAATCCACTCTTGTGCAATATACAAATAGAAATATAAAATCAAAGAACACATGTCTAACATTCAGGGCCAGGGCTGTTTCTGGCTGCATGAACCCCAACCCTATAGTATAAGAAAGCGTCTTAAAAATAGAAAAGTTTGTTCAAGCATATGGCATGCAAGTAACAATTTACAGTCCAGTTTGTCCATCTTGCACATCAGTGGCATGCATGCACACACAGAGGAAGCCACTGTGACAGGATGACTTAAATAGAAATGTGTCTCTCATTGGGGACAATGGACAACGTCTCCCCAGGTTCATTTGCAGGTGGCACTGCATCACACATCAGACCTGTGGATTAGGCACCAGCCTCAGAGCCTGGAGGACAAACCAAAGATATGTATTAATTGACTAAGCCTAAAAGAAATGTTACAGTTATTCACTTTCTTGCAGATAGTTAGACTGGGTGATTAATACAGCCCTCGTGTCAGTTTGTTAAATACTAAGCTTCAGCCAGCAGCATTAGCATATAAAGACAAGAAGTGTGGGGAAACCGTTACCCTGCGCCAGCACCTCACCAGTTAACTGTTATATACACTGCTCAAAAAATTAATACAACACTTAAATGGCTAAACTGGCTCTTGATGAATGAATTATTCAAGTAGAAAACCTTCACTAATGTACTGTATATGTATAATTTGTTCAAAACTAAATAACATAATAGCGGTCAATGAAAGCCAAACTCATCAACCTATGGAGGGCTATATTCAAAATCACACTGAAAATTTAAGTGAAAAATTTAAATCACAGGCTCATCCAAGTTGCATGAATCACAGCAACTTATAATGTGACTCAGAAGTGTGTACGGCCACCGTGTGCCTGTATGCACTTGCAACAACATTTGGGCATGCTCCTGATGAGTCAGTGGATGGTGTCCTGGGGGATCTCCTCCCCCACCTGGATAAGGGGATTAGTGAACTCCTGCAGCCTGTAGTGGTGCTTGGTGGTGTCGGATATAATGTCCCATAGGTGGAATGTGAGAGCCAGTCAATGGCGTCAATGCCTCGGTCATCCAGGAGCTGCCTACACACTCTAGCCATGTGAGGCTGGGCATTTTCCTGCACCATGATGAACCCAAACTGGTCATGCTCGATGATGTTACAGGCAGCATAATGCTCATCGTGGCGTCTCCAGACTCTTTCAAGTTTGTTACATGTGCTCAGTATGAAACTGCTATCATTAGTGAAGAAAAAGGGGCACCAATGGCAGACCTGCCAAATCTGGTGTTCTCTGGTGAATGCCAGTTGAGCTGCATTGTGCTGGGCTATGAGCACAGGTCATACTAAAGGATGTCAGGCCCTCATGCCACCCTCATAAAGTCTGTTTCTGACAGTTTGGTCAGAAACATGCGCACCAGTAGCCTGCTAGAGGTCATTTTGTGGGACTCTTGCAGTTCTCCTTCTGTTCCTTCTTGCACAAAGGAACAGATATTGGTCCTGCTGCTGGACTGCTGCCCTTCTATGGCCCTGTCTAGCTCTCCTGGTGTAACGAATGGTCTCCTGGTATCTCCTCCATGCTCCAGAGACTGTGCTGGGAGACAAACCAAACCTTCTTGCGACAGCAATGTATAGATGTGCCATCTTGGAGTAACTGGACTACCTGTGCAACCGGACTGGGCTGCAGGTACTGCCTCATGCTACCAGTAGTGATAAGGACACAGGCAAAACACAAAACTTGAGAAGAATCAGTCAGGAAGGATCAGGAGAGAGCATTTGTCTGTGGCCACCACATACAAAACATTCCCTTTTTTGGGGGTTGTCTTATTTTTGCCTCTCCATTGCACCAAAGCAGGTGAAAATGATTCACAATCACCTGTGCCTCCTAAGTGGACAGATTGATATCCCTGAAGTTTAACAGACTTGGTGTTATACTGTGATGATCAAGTGTTCAATTAATTTTTTGAGCAGTTTTAGCTCACACAAAAAAAACATTAGGTTATGATTTTACAGGGTTATGTGTTGGACTATTTCTTGGCAGGTGTCAGTGGCAGGTTAATCAAGTGAGATATAACATTAATTAATAGGTTGTAAAGGTGTCGGTGAGTAGATTTTGTTACTTTTGGACAGAGCTAGCTGCTTCCCTGTTTCCAGTCAAGCTAACTGGGTGCTGCCTTCATATTTGCAGTACAGATATGTACCAATGAATGTGACATTGATCCTTGCATCTAAAGCAAAATGTCCCAAAATGTCAAATTGCTGCTTTAACATACTCAGCTAGTCAACTTACACATTTTATACCCAGTCTGTGTGCAGTTAAACACTTCAAAGAAATCAGAGTTACCTGACGTGCAGCTATGTAGTTTGGTCCCGTGGGTTTCAGTCTGTTCCCAGCTGGAGGTGGTGGAGGTGGTGGTCCTCTGGGCTTTGGCCTTCCAGCCTAAAAAGTCAGGTATTGTCAGGAAATGCATGAAGTAGTTATTTGATGTATCCCAACTCCACCACATTATATTTCACCACATTACCTGTGGCACTTGTACAGGCACTTGTTGAGCATAGATGCTCACTGCTGGCTGCTTCCTTTGAGTGTGTGCACTGTTATGAAAAGAGGCATTTAATCAGCTGGCTTGCAACAACTGCAAATATGAGCATAGTAAAAAAAAGATAATTACTCACATGGGTCTTTGCCTTCTTTTCCAGGCGAGCCCTACCACAGCAGCAATGATGCCTAGAACCACTAGTAAAACTGCCACTATGATAGCAGCAATTACTCCTGCAAAAACAAAAGGCAGCAGTACAACATCAGTGCTCCTTTGAGAAATGTAAAATTCCATATTTATATGTGCATGTGTGTATTTTAATGAACAGTAGGTACCAGGAGAAAGAGATTCTAAATCTTGTGAATCACAGTTAGGTGGCAGCCATCCAGGCTCACACTGACATTCACTCCTGTGATTACACACCTGGAAAACACACAGGAGTTAACACAATTATCAGATTTTATCAAATGTGTTGTTTACTGGCACCATTGAGCAGCAGCACCCTTGTTACCACATGATGCCACTAACAATGTATTAACTACGATTTCACACACTGTCTAATAAATCTGGTGAGGAGGAACTTCCCCAGGAGCAGGAACCTTTTTTTGAAAGATGTCTGTAGTTCCTCTGTCTGCATTTCCACCAGAGCACCCCCCAGAACATCGTTGACTGGTTAAATACGGTGCTCTAAGATGTGAACATTTCACTCATGTATGCAAGTAAAAATCAGAGTGTGCCAGTGTGAAAAATTATTTGGGCGCAACTACCTCCAGTTCCATGGGTTTTCAGTTTGTAAAGAGCTTTTTATCAGTAGGCCTACACAAAGAGACCAGTGAGTGAGCTTAGTGGATTGGAAAATGTGATTTTGGTGTTTGTAGAGTGGCGATTCCTGGTGTTTGACCTGAGGGCAGAGGTTAGCTCCTCTACACACAGCGCTCAGGAAGCAGAGGCTGCAGATGAGTGGATGACATCGGTGAAGTGAAACATTAATTAACAATCCTTATGCTCATTACTGTACTTGCAATAAAACCCCAGCCATTAAATAATACACCTGTTAAATGAGCATAAACTTGCAGAAAAGCGATCATTTCAAATATGCCTGCAGTCTGTCCTTCAATGCTGTGGCATTCACTGCCGACCACTGGACTTTTACATCAGCAGGCTAATCTGTTCAATTGTCCCTGGGCTTCAGCCCTGCTGTGGAAATGTGCTGGAGGGTCTTGTACCCCAGGGACAGTTTTCTGCTGTCTACAGCATTTCTGTTGTTATTCCAGCTTCTTTACCTTGTGTTGTCAAAATACAGTACATAAATTAGCCTCCCCTCCATCACATAGCAAAGCTTATACGAAGTGTTTTTTGATCCATGAGTCGTCGTTTCAAACAGCCAGCCATAGAGGAGCTCTGGTCTGCTAAAACTCTGAAACAGTGGCTGCCAGACCAGAGAGGTCATGTTCTTTTGCACAGTGTCTGTCAGTCTCCAACCTGGATTAACTTATTCATCTGTGCCTTAGACCTCCTTTGTTGCTCAAAATGATTAAAAACACATTGGTGAAACACACCACAAAACCTGGGTGGCACATTTCCTATTTACAAAACACCAGATCTGCATATTTGTTAAAAATGTTGCCCCCAAAGCTCCAAATGACCATTACTTTTTACAGCATCTAAAACAAGTGAGCTCTCTGCTTTTTTACAGTCCACTAGCTCCTCACACTTTCACGTCTGATCCTCAAGATTAGATTAAATTCAACTTTACTGTCGATTCCACTAAATTCTGAGCAGCACTGGCATGTACTTACCGCGTGACCTGGGCATTTTGCAGAACAGTTTATGTTTCTGTAAGCTGTCTCAAGATCCATGCACTGGTATTGGCTGCACACCTTGGAAAAAATAGTCATTGGCATTTAATAGACACCCCAGGAATCGATTACTTTGATACACTGTAGATTTACAACTGCAATGTCTCAGCAAGTAGATTTTGGGGTGATTTCTCATCTTACTGTGGTGCAGTCATGAATACAAAACACATGTACAGCATTTTAACAGACAATAACCTATTACCTTTCCATCCCCACATTTAGTCCCATGATCCACCTGGCCATTATCTTTGGTGTAGTCATCAAAGAAAGCTGCCTTGCAGTTACTGACCTTGACCATGCGGCCATAGTTTGGGTTGTCATTACCGTTCTGACAGAAGAGCTTCCCACAAAATTTGTCTCTACAAAAACAAGAGAAAATCACTACGTGTATGTATTCACATAAGAGCAGGTATTCCAACGTATTCTCAAAAAGAAAAAAAGAAAAAACAATATAAACTTTGCTGTGACCTACTGTTTCTGACAGGGGATGTACTGGTTCTGCAGACGGCTGCAGAAAGCATAGTACGTTCCTCTGGTGTTCTGGTCATAGCAGAATGAAGGAGCCTCTGTAGCACCTAACGACAAGGAGGTTTTACATGACAATATAGTCTTTCATTTATTGTCTAGGTCTTTTTAGATAGCAGGGATACTAAGTGTGTTTTGACATCCTGTTTAAGTTATAGTTGTCACGCTCCTGCCCCTCTTGCTTCCTGTCATGCTTTTATTTTCACATTACGTCCTGTTTTGTTTCACTTCAATTTTGGCCCTTTTATTTAATCATCATTAGTTCACCTGCTCCTTATTGTTTGCACCTGTTTTTTACTTCTATTTAGGCAGCGTCCTCCCACCAGGACACTGCCAGATTGTTCTAGACCCCAGCGCTGACTCTCCAGCATTTATACCTTGCCTGACTCTCTGTTTCTGACCTTGGATTACTGTTTTTTGACCACCGTGTTTTGCCTATGCCCTCCCAGATTCTGATCGCCTGCAGTGTACCGACCTTCTGATTTTGTCCCCCTTGACCTCGAGTTTGGATCCCCTGGCTATACCTGTTTACCGGCGCTGACCCTGGACTGTCTTATCGACCTGATTGATATCCTGGACTTTGTGTTAGTTGTTTTGCTTACAACAAGTAAAGAACTTGTTGCTACCTCGGTTCATCTGGTTTTTTAATTGAGTTCACCACAACTTCTGTTTGGCATCTGTACACGCCATACCTGACAATAGTTGTCCAAAATTCACATAGACACTCACCTGGTCCATAGAGCCTGACACACTGGTTTGGCCTCTGTGGACACTGGCCATTGTAGCAGTATCCCAGGTCTTCCTGGCATGGGAGGCCATTCACAGCAAAGACATCCTCAGGACACGTGGCGCTTGTCCCATCGCAGTACTCTGCCAGATCACACTCATCGTGCTGTGTGCGGCACTCCTTAGAGCGAGGCGAGATCTGTGTCGAGAGTCACAACACATTCAATCAGATTACATACAGTATCGTGCCATAGATTACTTGCTTAATGCTTTACAAGAGTACTAGTATGTAAAGTACTATGAAACTGCTTCAGTGTATGAATTGTGCCACATAAATAACATATTAACTTATATAACGTAGTTAAAGTTAACTTTTGAGGCTAATATACAGTTGCTAAATAACACATCCAGCAGACAGAGAACAACATTAGTGAGGGTAGTAAAACTATAATTAGTTAATTATAATACAATTACACTGAAAGATGGATCAGTTTGGTATCTGAAGTTTAACTAATGGATACAAGATGTCTCCCTTTTCTATAATGTTCATTGTCAGTGTATGTGAAGAACAGGCTTCAGATTTCTACATCATACCTGTGTAAGATGCATGACTGGCTTCTAAACTAGGTGGTGCAAAATTCCACTCATATAGTATATACACTTCTTAAACTCAGATTTAAGGCTTTGTGCATACAAATGTACTGTCGGCAGATGAACATGAAAACAGCCTTCAGATGTGTGTCATTCTGCACCATGGAGCTCAAACATCACTAAGTGAAGCAACAGTAAGAAAAACCCATGTCTGACTATAATGTGAAGTGAGAGCAAGGTCAAATATCTGTAATATCTCAAATTCCCACTAGATGGCTGTGGAGGCTCAAACATATTCAGTAAAGGAAAATTTCAGGAAAAATAGAAGGAAATTAAGCTATTGCATCAAACTCAGCATTTGTTAATTTATGTTTACTCACTTTACAGTCGTCACAGCACTCGCCATCGGCACACTGTGAACCCTGAGTGAGGGTGCAGGTGGTGGCATTGCAACATGGGTTGGTGCACTCCTGGATGGACAACATAGAAGTCAAGCTTGTGCTCTGTCATGCTCTGTTAAACCTGCTTCTGTTATGGTCAGTAATGTTGCTGTGTTTTTTCTTTTTTTTAGATTTAGTTGATTGTGTGTGTTTGTGTATATATCTGGGCGGATCTTGTATCATGCTTTCTCATCCTGCTCAATAATAACCCAGGTGAAAGAAATACACTGTAGGGATTTGGAAGGCACTATGGTACATTTTCTGAGAACTACTTTCCTCTCATTCTTGGATGCTTTCTTGTGGTTTTTCTATTGTAATGCTTGTATATTGTACACCATAGAGCTTGTCTATGGATCTGCTGAACACCAGCTGAGGAAAAACAAGTCTGAGCATATTCACAGCTCAACATAGTTCAGACTGGAATGTACCTCTTGATGGAAATTGCATCTTTTACTGTCACACTTTACATTCCAAATGAGATTAAGGTGGAATCTACAAAAGGAACCAGCCGTCTGCACAGCTGCTTGAAATGAGGCTTTGTAAACTGTGGAGCAGTTCAATTAATCTATACTGTCAGTAGCCTATACTTGTGCCTGAGAAACACAGTTTTGTCATTTCAAGACAGTGCACCTTGTTGAAAATGATTAAATGTGTATATAAATAATTGTAAAAGTATTGTGGAAAATTATTTTAAAAGCCAGGATAATTAAAGTGTAAACTGTTGTTTACCCAGTAATCATACTGACATACTATAGTGTGCAGCCATTTAGGCTATAACATAGTAAGCAGCTGGTGGTTAGTGGAGTTTCTGAGCCCAGCTGTATGGGCTCCAAGACCCAACACAGTAATCAAAAATCTTAAAAAGAGGTTTGAGATAACACATAAGTTCACATTTATGTGTCTGCTTTCATTCACTTTTAGAAGACAAACTCAAATGATTTTAGAAATAAATGTGTCGGTGCACGTCGGGCAGTTCCATCATATGACACCTCTGGCAACAGACCTAACAGAAAGAGCCAAGATCAGACACGGAAACAAAGTGTTGAGCAATGACCTTAAGACAGATAATTTGTCTCAGCACACACAAACATGGTTTGTTTATTTAATATAATACTGTGGGGCAGCAGCAAGGCTTATGGTTAACTGAGCAACCTTGGGGACTATTAGGGATCTTGGCCAAATTAGATCATCAGAAAGTCTGTTGCTAGTGAGTAAAAAGCTGCCTGACAGTGCTGGTCAACAACTAAAGCCTCTTTGATCCTTCAATCATGTGCAAATCATATTATTTTGCAAACATATTACCAGGCAAAGTTCACCCAGTTTAGTGGAACTATAACAGCTGTTCGCACATTTGTTTATAATGCTTCTCTTCCTACAAGATCTTTCACAGTGTAATTTTAGGTACACTTCAGCATTTTGATTTTATAGAACAGTGCCAAAAAGAAAAGCAATTTCCTTAAAGGAATCAATGCAACAATACAAAATCATTTTAGTCTTCAGTGTCTTGATTATTTACCTCCACAGTGCCACAGTCACACTGCTCTCCTTTCTCCACAAACCCGTTCCCACAGACTGAAGGAGCAACCACACTTCTGTAGTTGGGTTTGTCCAGTAGGCAGGTGGGGTTTCGGTTGGTCAGGAATTTCTCATAGCTATTGGCACTGCAGGTACTGAAAGTCCGAGGAATGTTTGAGCTGTAGAAAAACATATTTTCCATGTTACCTCTATAGTCACATTCTTTGAAAATTCTACAAATGAAGTTTAGCTAAACATATGTTTACAGAGGTTACACAAGTTTTGCCTTGTGTACTTCTCCTTCAGTCACGTTTCCTAACTGTGCATATGACAAATAAACACTTTGACCTTTGACTCTGAAAGAACGCACACCGCTACTTGATTTTTTCATGCAATGGCATCATTTCAAGTTCAGTTCAGAGCCATGTTGGAGGGAGATTTTTGTTCTAATCAAACTATTCAGACCACTTCACACAGCTCCCTCTGAAGCCACAAACACACTACTACACACAAACCTTAATATATCAAAATAAAATTCCCTTTTCACAAATGCATTAAAAAGTTTCCAGTACCTGGAAACATACTTTGATGTATAAAATGGATGGTGTTCCCCTTTTAAAGACCTGCTATTCTTGTTTGTGTTTGGCCTATTAGATGTCAAACAGTGATCCACAAGAGGATGTGACATGTGAAAGCACAAGAGCACAAGCTTCCTAAGGAAAATGAAGGCTTAGCTTTGCATCCTGGCCCATTGAGGCTGCTGTGGGAGGATAATCTGCTATGATTTTCACTCTTATCAATTATTATTACTGAGGAACATCTTCTTCTATGGTTGTTGAATACAATAAATGGACAGAAAGTGACCCCTTGTACCAACAAATTAATATCAATAAAACATGCAGATACAGTAAATTCTATAAAATCTCCATCATCACGAGCTCATTATTTGTTTTACTGCCACAGTCGGTGCCTGTCCCACTTTTATAGACACACTTTGGCTCTTGAATGACCTTTCTTACCTGAGGGCTGCAGCCATGATGCAACTTTCTCCAGAACAAACACAGATACTGGAGTCATCGTGGTCCATTCCCAGGTTGTGGCCCATCTCATGAGCCAGTGTCGCTCCCACTGGAATGGCACCGTTATTGTGATCCTGAGAGGTAACAAACCACCAGTTACTACATTTCACTTTTATTCCCACTTTTTAAAAAGTCTGTTTAAAGCATACATCAAGGTTTGCCAGCTAACACATGATAAATTTATTTGATTCCTAAATCTGCTCTGCTTCTGAGCTTCTCTGTTCCCACGGTAGTCTAGAAGTGTGCTGCAGTATAGTGGAAGAGTTTCAAATAACTGTGAGAAAAATTCAGCACTTCCTCTTTAAAATAAAAGATTTGAGTTTTGCATACTTACTGATGATAGTAGGAAACTTGGTTGCCCACATTTGATTGTTTATGGAGTGGCAGGCAGAGTTACACACTGACTACAGAGACATTGGTTTGCTTCAGTTTCTGCACATACTGTAGCACTACAGCCATGCTAGCAGCCCCAGATACAGGCACAGTAATGCTTTTAAAGATGACAATGCTAACATTCAGTAGTGTAGTGTGTTTGCAAGCTAACATCTGCTATTTATCAAGCACTAAACACCAAGTACAGCTGAGGCTAATGGGAATGTCCTGGAACAGATTACCTGTATTACCCCAACAGAGAGACTGGAGCAAAGAGTTCCAACGTAAGCCAGGCCCACAGTTTGTCCCTCAAAGTCAATACCACTAAAGGACAAGGTAAGGAACACAAAACCATATTTATGCCTTGTTCATTTTGTGGAAGTCAAACATGGTCCGCAACACAAATACACACAAATTACACACAAGTTGCACAAGCATGTTGTAAAACACTAAGAACTGATGCATCAAAGCAGTAAGACTTGAGAAATAAAATGTGGGAGCTTCCATTTTCAGAAGAAAACCGGAGCTTGTAGCTTCCTTTGTAGTAACAGTATGTCAATATAGTCAGCATGACTGAGCTCACACTGGTTGTATTTATACAAAGAACCACATAGGGAACAGGAGCCAATACGTACACAACAAAAGTCTAAAAGGAAATCTTTCTCCATGCAATGCACTGTGATTTAAACATTAAGCTTAAGACACATTTTATTTAGTTAATTATCTGACATAATGTGAGACTTTTTAGTTAATAGAGGCTATTCAGACCTGACGAGATGTGCATTGTCATGCTTTATCCTTTTCACCAGATCAGAGTTCCTCCACTTTTCGAAAGCGCCCAAGTTTGCCCCAGCCGGGGGGGTCACAGTGATCAAGTCACCATTGGACCAGACCTCCAGCCCCACGAGAGCAATGAAAGTCCTCAGGGGTTTGTATACCTGCAGGATATCACCAGAAAGCAACCATGAGAAAAGAGACATCTACTTTATCGTCTTTAAATTTTGAACTAAACAGGAGATCAACCAATCTGCTGCATACAGACAGAAAAGAAAGACTACTGAGACTGTCCAATACACACAAACTTAAAATGCTGACCTGCGGACAATGGTTCTATGTCACTTGTGCTTTGCAATTTGCAGCAAAAATAGCAGCTGACTCACCATGTTGACAAAGTTCACAATTTCAAATATCTTCTTTCTCAGCTGTGTTTGATCTTGTTTCAGCTTTACATACTGAAAGAACATGTTGTCATATTAGAGCAAAGCCACATCCGCTTCCTCAGAAGCTGAATCATTGTAGATTACCCACATTATTTTACTATATGCATATTTTACCTCACGGTTATCTGCCACAAGAACAAGCTCGTTATATTTCTGCTGCTGGATGATAGATATACCCTGGGGGAGAAATAAATAAAACGTATATAGTCACCTTTTTACTATTCTATCTGACGTGACATTTAACCTCAGATATCTTAAAACATTGCAGGGTGTTGTGGCAGTAATGGTTTTACCCCTGATCTGGAGCGGCTGCGGCTTGTTGGGGGTTCATAGCCAGCGCTCCAGCTGGTGTTGGTGACACCACACACTCTAGGTGTGAAGTTGCTCTCATTGAATGTCATCACTGCATGATCTCCCTCATCGTCCCCAGACAGAGGCTCAATCAGGTACCTCTGGGCAGATATTCTGAAGTAACCCCTAAACCAAGATCATGCCAGTTAATCCTTTAGTTCTACAGGCTTTGCTTTAAGACAGAAATAAGTCCTTTGTCTGAGCCCAGGTATCTGCCACCTTGGCTTGAGGAGGAAAGTGTCTTAAAGATCAGTGCCTGTTGGTTCCATAAAATCCTGTCATTCAAAAAGAATCAACTTATCTCCACAAGTATCCATTATACTATATATACAATACAGCTGAAGTCAGAAGTTTGCATACAGCTTAGCTAAATATATTTAAACTCAGTTTTTCACAACTCTTGACATTTAACCCTACAAACATTCCCTGTCTTAGGTCAGTTAGTATCATTACTTTATTTTAGGAATGTGAAATGTCAGAATAATAGAGAAAAAGATTTATTTCAGCTTTTATTTATTCCATCACCTTCCCAGTGGGTCAGAAGTTTACATACTCTCAGTTAGTATTTGGTAGCATTGTCCTTAAATTGTTTAACTTGGGTCAAATGTTTTGGGTCACCTTCCACAAGCTTCTTAGAATAAGTTGCTGGAATTTTAGCCCATTCTTCCAGATAGAACTGGTGGAACTGAATCAGGTCTGTAGGCCTCCTTGCTCACACAAACATTTTCAGTTCTGCCCACAAATTTTCTGTTGGATTGAGGTCAAGGCTTTGTGATGGTCATTCCAATACTTTGACTTTGTTGTACTTGAGCCATTTTGACACAGCTATGGAAGTCTGCTTGGGGTCATTGTCCATTTGGAAGACACTGACCTAGCTTTAACTTCCTGGCTGATGTCTTGAGATGTTGCTTCACTATATCCACATAATCTTCCTTCTTCATGATGCCATCTGTTTTGTGAAGTGCCCCAGTGATCTTTGTACTCGTGCAGTATTGTTTGGACAGATGAACGTGGTACCTTCAGGTATTTGGAATTTACTCCCTATGGGTGGCTGTGGCTCACGAGGTAGGGCAAGTCATCTTCTGACCAGCAAGTTGGTGGTTCGACTCCCGGTGTCCCTGAGCAAGACACTGGACCCAGAATTGCTTCCGGTGGCTTGACTAGTGCTGGTGTGTGGCAGCCTTGTTGTCATCGGTGTGTGAATGTGTGTGTGAATGGTGTATGATCTCCTGTAAAGTGCTTTGGCCAGTCCCACACCCTGTGAAAAATGCACTATATAAATACAGTCCATTTACCAAGAAAGAACTTGACTTGTGGAGGTTCACTGTTTTGTGATCTTGGCTGATTTCTTTTGGTTTTCCCTTGATGTAAAAAAAAGAGGTAGTGAGATTTTTAAGCCTTAAAATACATCCACAGGTGGACTTCCTGTTGACTCAGTTGATGTCAGTCAGCCAATCAGAAGCTGCTAAATTCATGACATCATTTTCTGGAAATTTCCAAGCTGTTTAAAGGCACAGTTAAATGACTGTATGTAAACCTCTGACCCAGTGGAATTAATCTGTCTTGGAATTAAACAACTGGTGGAACTGACTTGGCAAAATGAGAGTTTGTTAACATGACATCTGTGGAGTGGATAAAAAAAAATCAGTTTTAATGACTTCAGCCTAAGTGGGTGTAAACTTCTGACTTACTTCTCAGAAGTCATTATCTTCTCTAGTAAGTGTACTGGTGGTGATTTTCAGATTGTCATCGCAACATTTATCTATAGGTCTGTCAATTGCCTATCGCACGAAGCAGAGACTGCCAATCTATCAAAGGGGTCGACTCCAAGACACACTTGTCACGCCTAGACCCCTTTTTCACATTTCGAGTTAATCTTTTTCCTTTGGTGCATTTCAAGTGTAATCACCATAGATAGCTGCTTAAATCAGGTAGATCATCTGTTAGCCTGTTTATACATTTTTTACTTTTTACTTGAATCACTTCTGATCTTTGCTTGAAGTGGAGGGAAAGTGCAGATACTCCCCTTATTCCCCTTATGTGCATGTGGGGTTAGATGTTTGATAATTAGTATATTGTATTTACAGCTTGCTCTGCCCCAACTTGGCCAAATTACAAATACAAGTTTATTTATTTATTATTTCAGTGATTTATTTGTAGGTTTATTATATTTATTTCTTCATTACTGACAGCAGGTAGGGTCAAAAGGCTCATGTTAGGAAGTGAAAATGATATGAGCCAATGGTCTTTGGGATATGTGTGATATCATTTTAGATGCATGTTTGGGGCACAACTGTTGTCCCCATTCACAATACTCTGTTCAAAGTAAAGTGCAACCTTAAAACATTTGTTGTTGCTACTACAGGAACTCAGGTCTATTGTGGAGGAGCTAAACACCCCCTCCGTTCCCATGCTGCACCTGTACAGAATCTTCAGCATTAAGTCATAAAACAGAAGTGGTGTCACCACCCGAGAGACTTGGTGGATCCAGTGCCACCAGTATGAAATGTTAGTCTGGAGCCCTGTTAAGTAGGAGGGATGTGTGGACAGTACGTTCTGTGAGCTGGCCTTTTTGGCATGTGGCATGTTTTAAAGACAGCTGGTTCGAAGGCTCACCTGAGTCCATCACAAGTGCTGATGCTAACAGATGATTCGTTGTCATTCACAATCTTCCCTTGATAGTAGCAGTGATCCTGGTAGACATGAGGATGAAGACTGGGTTATCACATAAGAATAGCCAAACTATTTACACTAGGTTAATTTTCTAGCATTTTCTCCAACATAATGTTTTTACACTTTGGTATCAGGGGCATCTTAAAGCATGTGCTTTAGAGTTAATGTCACATTGCCACATTACAGTATGAGGAAGTGAAACCTGCCTACAAATCTGAATACTTACAATGTCATCTGGTCTTGTGGTGACTCGAGTCCCATCTTCTTGATAATAAGTCTCAGTGTAGTCTTTGCTCAATAATTTACTGAAGATGAAAAATAAATAAATATGTTTATCAAAACAAACTTAACATGGAGTAAATGTGTGTCCAGTGACAAAGAAAAAACAATGACATGAAAAGCATTATTTTGTGAGAAAAAATAAAATAAAATAGAACCAAGAAGTTACAGTGAAGAATTGGTTTAAACATAGACTCAGCTTCTTTTCATGTAATGACCTGCTTTGCTTAGCGAAGCGACAACGGTGGACCTATTCATGTTACAATATTTTAGAATTCTTTAACCCTGGATTACCTGGAAAGTTGGCTAGTTTACCGTTAATTTAACCCTGGATTACCTGGAAAGTTGGTTAGTTTACCATTGTGTATTGGTCTCATCTTATTATCTCTGACAGTTTAGAATTTAGGTAAGTAACAACTTACTCATTTCTCTTTAGTTCCATCTGTATGTCTTTTCCTCCTACGGTCAGTGCGTAGTTGATGGTTTCTGGTCTGAGGTTCTGCTGAAAAAAAAACAAGGTTGTGAAACTATTTACTCAGTAATATATTCTTGTTTTAAGTTTCTCATATTTTAAATACAGCTTGGCTGTGTGTGCAAAAACAAGTGTGATACAGACACTAACATCTAAAAAAGAAAAATGTACCTCTGCATGTCTTTTTCTGACTGAGTGAAGTCTGACGGGCCGAACCACCTCATAGTGCTTCACCTCTTCAAACTCATATCCATGGCTTTCTGTGGAGATACAGCATGTTATATTGTTTTATGATAGAAGAACATATATTCATTTCATAAGGAATTAGCATAGATATTTAGTGTAATTTTTAAACAGTAAATTCAACAATTAACCTTTTATTTTCCAAGTTTCCAGTTTTCCAAGTCCTGCAAATTAAATTAAATAAAATTTTTTAAGACGCGCTGCATGGAGCGGCAGCGAGTTCCAGTAGCTCTATCCTCTTTTGTTTTGTTTTTTTTGTTTGTTTGTTTTTTCTTTCCATGCTTTCTGAATTGGCCTATCAAGATCAGTGTGTGGTATCTGTTCTTATGGTGTGTTGTTGCTTGCTCTCTGTTGTTTTTGTCCATTACTGCTGCTGGAACACTGGAATTTCCCCACTGTGGGCTCAATAAAGTTCTACCTACCTACCTAAATGAGAACTACATCATTTTGCTTTGTCCTCTGATCATAGTTAAGGCGAAAAAGAAGCACTTGGCTAAACAGAGGAAACATGTGGTCATGGTTAAAAGCGAAAAGAAAGACACCATTAAAAGACACCAGCACTGACTGTGTGGTCTCCCACATGTCAGATTTTTAATTTGTATGTAACCTGTTCGTGTTTCTAGTTTGCAAAGGTGCAAATAGGATTAGATTCCAAAGATGACAGCTTATTCCTTTAACACTTCAAATTTGAAAAAATATAATAAAAGCAAGATAAGATGAGGGCAGCAAGTGTGTGTCTAATTACAACCGGAACCAGTAGCTCTTTTAAAAAAAAAATTCAGGTCTAATGTGTCCAGCCACCTCTTTTACATCAGAAAAACAATGACACCTGCTTCCCAGTGATTAAAAAGACTTATTTTAAAAAGCACAACAATTTTAGCAGTACAACAAATGAGGAAGTTTACAGACTGGATCCTGTAGAAGAAGGTTAGCTGTAGAGTAACGTACTGTATTTATATCATGCTTTGCAGTCGATTAAAGATCAGAGCAGATTGAGAAAAAGTTCTTTTCTGAACTGCCTGCCTGCTTTCTGGTGTGTGTGACTGGACTCAAAGCGTTAGCTAACCAAGCTGTACAATAATTAATGAATCTTCTATTATCCCAGTTTAACAACCCTTGACATATTAATAGGAAGTGTTTACAGTATCAACACAGTAACCAAGTCTCTCACATGAAAACTAGTGTTCAGTGAAGGAATTTGAAAACCTTATCATCAGGAACATAGAGGGTTTTGTGCACAGGAGAAAGTTTCAAATTAAAAATCCTGTTTTGTCCTCTGCTGCTTTTTTACTTCCAGGCTGATTCTTTTTGACTGTCCTGGTGCTACAGGACAGATGAGAGATATGGTGCTGTCAACTGTTAGTCAGTGAAAACTAGTGAATTAAATATTTTAGTTGCAACTTTTCATTCTTCGGTCTCATATTTGTTTGTAGCAGAGACAAAATGCCCCATATTTGTTTGTAGCAGAGACAAAATGTGGCAAACTATTTCCCTTAATAAGACAAAGCACACATCCTGTGTAATTCTTTGTGTTCTTAGTACATTTTGTCATTTCCTGATTTTGAAATCTTTTTTATAAGAAACTGTGTCATCACAGTGTCACAGTGTTTGTTTCATCAGTATTAGCTTCACCTGTGGTTTTTCTAAATTTGATCAGTGACATCCTCTGCCTCATCTTTACCCCATGTGATGTCTCAAAAAACTTTCTGACCAATAACTGTATTCCACCGTTAGCCAAAGCTGCTTGAAGGGAAATGACTCACTTGCTCTGAGTTGTCGTTACCTGTCAGTATTAGCTGATAGAGTTGCACCTAGGCTTTGTTGTGATCCAAAGACCAGCTCTGACACATGTGTCACAACATCAGCAGTGCATTTAGACTTGTGAAGCTTTATTAGATGGTAATGAGCTGTTATTGCTCAGCAGGGTGTTACACCAGGCTGGGCACACAGTCACCCCGCCTCAGCATTTCCTTTCTAAAGAAATGTTGCACAAGCGAATGCATTTGGTCTGGTGAACATTTCGTCCCCCAAAATTCCATTATCCCTAATACAGACAAGACAGACTTAGCCAAAGGCACATCAGCCATATTTTAGGGTGGACACAGGTATCATCCATTATCCTAAAACTGAAGGAAAGAACATCCACCTGCATTTTATTTGTAACACATTATATCATATTGTATCTATTTTAGTGAAAACACAAGTTCAGTTGCTTTGAATAAATAAGATAGGATAAACCTAGGCTTTAGTTATTGATTAGGCACTGCGCTGAGTGGAGGTTAACAGTATCCAGTGACTCACCTGAGAGCTTGAGTGAGGCATTTAGAATGAGGATCCACAATAGGAGTGTTCTCGTCATTGTAGTAGTGCAGACACTGACTGTAACAGAGCAGATCGGTGATCTGATCAGGTTTTATGTTGTCTACCTGCATCCTATGTTGCCGTTCTCGAGAGGCCACACCTTCCTAGACCTGTCACAACTACTTCCTTATCCTCATTTACAACACACTAAAACCAGCGTGAACACGCCCCCTGCTTCTCTTGAGGAATGCAGGAAGACAGCAACAGAAAGTGTTGTAGGCCAGGCTCAACTTGTGTTCTCCCATATTAGATTTCATGGCACACCTCCGCGTCTAATTTAAACAAAGCATGATGTGAATGTTCTGACAGTAGTTTTAAATCTCCTACCTTTTCAGTGGGTGACATTTTGGCTGTTTCTTCTTTCTTTGCTTAAACACCATAAGTCAGCTGTTTGAGTCATTGTGTTTTGTGGCTGACTGACTCACTTCACCAACAGTAGCCATACGGTAATTTCCACATACATCACGTTACTTTGACATCACCACATCAAGTGTTTGCCGAACTGAAACAGACTGAATATGAGTTCCATCCACAGCATTTCGGGTGCTGCTTCCTCTGTCCCTCACCCACATGGCTGGAGTCACAGCAGACTGTCTGAGGACAATAAGACCAATGTGTACACTCCCTCAGTGGCAGACTGGGGCAATTCAGGACACAGGGTCAGTGTGTGTGGTTCACTAGGTGGAGAATTAAAGTGACACAGTGTGACCATTTGACAGAAGTGTCAGCTTTCTTATCATTAATATAACAATACAATATCAGCTATATAATATTATATACTGTAACTATATATAATGCAGCTTGCAGTCAGTTCATGCAGTCATTCTTATTCTTAACACTTGGTGCCTTTGTGGTTTTTCTGAAAGTCACTTGTGCTTAGGAAGTACAAATGCAATATGTTTGCAGCCCTAGAATGATGCTTTTGGGTCAGTATAAACAGAATAGTAACACACAGAAGCTCAGCTGAAATTTAAAGAAATTATAAAAACACTTCCTGGATTAACAACCAATCTCTAGTTATCTAAAATATGCTTCTCTGGCTAGTGAGAGTCATACTGGTTTCATTCATGTAAACTGTAGTCATAAACTTTGGCTTATGCAGTTTTACGGTGTTGTACGCTCTACTCATAAAGCACATGACCTAAGTAAACAGCTGCCTCACAGCGAGCTTGGTGACTGCTCTGCCCTCAACCCAAAAGTCAGACCCTGGGTTTCTGGCTTTGCACTCTGGGTGAAAATACAGCTGGAAAATGAATTCTCAAAAAATCAGTCTCAATACCAGTTCTTAAAGGATACACCTGTATTAAAACAACATGCACACTGGTGCAACTCTTATGAAAGTGATCAGGGACCTTTTCTGTGCAATGATGCATCATGAAGTTCAGATAAAGTTAATTTGAGGCTTCAGCAGAGTTTCAGTCTGAGTATCTTCACCTCTTTGTGTTTTTTCCCCTGAGCAGTAGTGACACAATAGTAACACAATGAAGATACTTTGTAATATCATGAACCCATGTTGGTGGCTCTGTGAGGCTGTGCTCAGCCACAGCTGTGTTTTCAAATAAATGCTAATAGTTGCATGGCAACATATTCTCAATGGGTCCATTACCTGCTTGTGTGATGCCTTTGCTGTAATTTATGCAGTGCAGCCATCTACGGCACCAGATTTCACATACACACACACCAATGGTGGTACTGTCGCTGCAAGGCACTGCTGTGGCCATTGGGACCGATGTGGGGTTCAGCATCTTGCCCAAAGACACTTTGACACGTGGATTGGGTAGAACGGGAATTGAACTGCCGACTTTTTGAATGGGGGGATGACCACTGTACCTCCTGAGTCATAACCACCACAAGCTGACCACAAGTTGACCACAGCCTCATCAACTTGATATCCTATGGAAACCAGATTCAGTGGTATTACCCGCTCTGATTCACATTAAATTCAACTTCACATTTTCCTGTGTCATGATTATGGTCATCCTAACTCTAACCTGCAGCTGTATTACTACCAACAACTGGATTGATGTGGCACAGTAGACCATGATGAATCGTGGGATACATGTACTGTAGTTCTGAATATTGCTTGGTGTTAATATGAGAAATGTGGGTTAAGTACCGTATCCAGCATCCGCCACGTGGCACAGTCTGTACCACATTTCATGGTACTGCATCCAGTGTGTGAACCTATAACTCAATGTGTATCAGACTTTCTGTACTCACAAAACAGCAGCCATCAGTCATGCAGAATGTCATGTTTCTGAAATGTCATGTATTATGCAACTGTAGTAGCCATGATTTAAGTAGCAATCAGGCATCAGCATCTGAAAGCAGATGTTACTCTACTGATTCCAGCTATTATTTACTATGATGTTTTACAACATGTGATGTTCTGCGCAGGGTGGCATGGCGGAACATTGGTTAACACTGTCACCTCATAGCAAGAAGTGAACCAATTCAGGAATAAGCATAAGTGGTTAGTTGGGAATGAGGAAGTGAATTTATGACGTACATGTATTGCATCTACCAACCAGTACTGTGTGTACTAATCAATATTTTTAACAGAACCTTGGCTACAGTACACATCCACAGGGTAAATGTATTGTGTTTTAACTCTATAGTTGCTGTGAAGCTTTGAACAATGATTAAGCTAAATCTAAATGTCAGATTCTTTCTAGGTGATATTAAGATAGGCCCAGCTGTAAAAAAAACAAAACAAACAATGCCCATGCATCACTATGCTGAACTCCCAACTTACCTGCTCTTAGCTTTTTTTTTACAGTCTACAATGAAACAGCGTTTCTGACTGCATGTTGACTACCATGTGTTGGTGCTACTTTCACATAGCGCTTATGATGTTGGCCCAGACTCACCCCAGCTCCACTGGCACAGATGGGGCCTTTCAGCCAGGCTACATTAGGATGATAAGCATTATCAGTTACCTTTATTGACTTTTACCAGTGACCAACCTGAGGTCATAAAAGGCTGCACAAAATATTTTTTCCCCACATACAAAATACAGCAGAAACACTCCCCAGTGATTGTACAATAAATGGTCTTTGATTTGTTTGATCAGTTACTCTTTCCACATGGTTCTTCGCAAGAGAAACGCACCATCCACACAAAATGAAATGTACATGATTCATCTAAAAATTAAGTATGTCACAAACAGTAATACATCTAAATACACATCAAACTGCATTTTAATAATGTCTGTAATCAGCGGTGAGAAAGTACAGTACTCAAATATTACATTTCAGTAAAAGTTTGAGGTGTTTCTACTTTAAAAAAAAACAAGGTAAAAAAAAAAAAAAAAAAAAAAACACCACCAACAATAACAATAAAATCCTCCAAAGTAAATGACAAGCACACAAAACACAATGAGGTTCAAACCTGACTAGATAAGATACTAAAACAAGACAGCACGGTCAGGAATTTTCCATGGCAGAACCAAAAACATAAGGACTATAGATAATCAAATAACAAGAACAAAGGAACTGACAAACCAGAGCTGACATGACCAGAGTCCAAAAATAAAAAGCACAGAGGAGGAACAAGAAGAGAGCAACAGTCAAGATGGAGCAGGAGCAAAAACACAGGGTGAAATGAAGGCGGCAACTATGGAGACAAACACCACGAGCAAAAAGAGCATGCACACGCATGAGATTCAGAATAAGCAAAACTTTATGGATTTCCACATGGAAACAGCTTGGTACCAGTTGCTCAAGATTATAGAAATTGTAGGCTATAATTATACAGGATTATAAGAAAGCAGTGGGGCGCAGTCTGGAGTATCAGTGCAGATGTCAAATGCATTTGCCGGGAGGTGGAATGAACACAACAATCAAGATGCCATGTGAAAGCTTCCTGGGTGTCTAATATGGACATTGTCCCACTGCTGCAGTTCAGAACTCTGGCACAAAAACGTGCCTTCACAGTAATGTGACCAGGCTGGAATCTGGAGTATCAGTGCAGATGTCAAATGCATTTGCCGGGAGGTGGAATGAACACAACAATCAAGATGCCATGTGAAAGCTTCCTGGGTGTCTAGTATGGACGTTGTCCCACTGCTGCAGTTCAGAACTCACAGTAATGTGACCAGGGTGGATCCATTTAATAAAAGCAGAAAGCCCATTCAAATACACCTTAAATCTCCCTTTCTATCAGTCTCTGTTGTCAGGATTCATCTCTTTTCCCTTGTCATTTTTTGTACAGAGTATCAGTATTGGTATCAGTGATAGCCTGAGTTTTAGTTGGTACTAGATTAGAAAGGTAACAGAGGAGGAACAAGAAGAGAGCAACATCACTTTTTTGCTCCTTTGTCAGTGTGTGGACAGTTTTTATAGTAATGGTACTGTTTTATTTTTTGAAAGGCCTGGATTTAACAATTATTGTTACATTTACTTAAGTAAAATTCGGAGTAGAACTTTCACCACTCTCTGTAAGTGAATATATACCTGATGATAGATGAGCAAAAAAAATGAAAGAGAAAGTGACGGTGAGTGGAAAAGAGCTTACCTAGACTGCCCGGTGCAGCCATCACAAACACAGCAAACGTATTTTCTTAGATCATTTTCATTCTCACTCACATTTCAGGAACATCATATAATGGATGGCTCATTCTTCTGACATGATTTCAGAAATATTACTGACCACTGATGACCCGGTCTGTGATTCAGTTAGAGTGCACATATGAATCATTATTCATCACTGATTTAGGGCCAGCATGGAGGCACAGTGACTAATGATGTCACCTCACAGCAAGAAGGTTCTGGGTTTGAGCTTCATGACTGAATGAGACCTTTCACTGTTTGTTTGATTTTGCGTGTTCTCCCTGTGCCTGGGTGGGGTTTCTCCAGGTACTCTGGCTTCCTCCCACAGTCCAAACACATACAGGTTAGGTTGACTGGTGTGGGGGGTGGTCTTTCTCTATGTGTCAGCCCTGTGACAGAGTGGTGACCTGTGTACCCCGCCTCTTGCCCATTGGCTTCTCGAATTGGCTCCATGACTCTCCACAGGATGTGCGGTGTAGATAATGGATGGATGGATCACTGGTTTGTTCTTGACAACATCGCCACCAGAGAGCAGCCTCTTCATTTCATAGCCCTCCAGCTGCAGTGAACCTGGGCAGCCTGTAGTGGGCTCTCATGTAACATCAAATCACAGGTTTTGACATGGAGTCTTAAAGTCGTGTTGAAAAATCATTTCATATTGGAAACAGCAATTTTCATCAAACTGTTTTAAAATATTGAAATAATGGAAATCATCCCACTTGTATCAGTATGTTTGTGATTACAGAAGCTTTATTTTAAGTCACATTTTCACTTTTTTAATAAATCAAAAGTAGACTGCATGACTTCTTGATATGGTTATTGGTAGAGGATCTGCTCTGGCTGGCTGGATGCCAGCTGCC